TTGGATGCTAGCGTGAGAGAGGACGCTGGTTCGCAGAAGTGTGAGAGTCTTGTGAGCTTGGATACAGCATCCCGGCGGCTGCGGTCGCAGTTGACACTCTCGGTACGATGGACCTCACATACTACGTGATGCCGACGTCAGAAGTCCAGAGGTTGCCAAATAACAGACGTGACTTCAATATGACCCCCCGACTATTGCGAACAGAGCTGCCTATACGCCAATTCTTCCGAAACAGTATTTAATGATCAAGAATTGACGACGACCTAAGATACATCAACGTCCTGCTTTCATGTAGCTCACAACAATCTAACCGATATGTTGTAATAATATCGAATCATCTACGATCATCATTGGCCGTTTCTGATCGTTCACTGCCCTTGCCTTTCGAATCCTCTTCCTTGACTTTCCACGTCGTGCTCCTGTCTTCAACGGTCCTCCGCCGCGGCACGTAATTGTGAATATAGAAAACGTTCAGCCTCTCTCTGGGTTTCATTCACCGTCGCGGCTTCTTCGGCCTTCGTCCCTCCGACTAGTATACCCTCTCCACTCTACTCGATGTCCAGCTGTCCTCTCGTCGCTCTAGGCCCGCGTCGTAATTTCGAAGGTCTCTTTTCTCTCGGGTGTCGTGCGTTCGTTGTACTTCTATTGTAGGGGGTGACTGGATGAATAATGATACATAGCTGAGGGACAAAGTGAATGAGTCTCATGGTACCCGCGTCTTGCAGTATTCCTGGAAACGGGGAGAGAAGAGTGCCTCGGTCAAAGATGGTATCCTCAGGATTGCTCAGTCTGATATCACTTAAGCGAGCGAGTGATTTGAAAGAGATAAATTCCATTGATACTAAATTAATGCCTGTTCGAGGGGCTGATCTGTCGATTTCGACCTGCAAGCTTCCACTCATAGTCGTCATGACTATAAAGTTAGGCAGAACACTTGCTTGACTCCAGAACTAGACGGGACAGCAAGTGTTATACAAGAGCTCTGGATATCTGGCATCTGACCTGGCGTGGAACCTAGCATCTGCCCACTCTAGGATATGAAGAGTATCCGTGTATTCCAGGGAGACAATCTACACGATACTTGCTTCACCGACGCAGCTATATCTTCTCAATGCCCCGGGACTCTCCGCAAGGAATCTTACACGCGTGGGTTTTATTCCTCCATCTTCAACGACGACGTCCTTATCCAGAAGACACAAAGCAAGAGGAGGCCCTTTACGTCAAAAAGTTGCAATTTGTTCAGACTCAAGCCCGTGAAACATGTACCTAACCCGCTCATATTCTGTCGTGGCTTGAGTGCGTGAATGAAAGCATACCAACAATTTCCATCCAGTGTATCACTTCGATAGGTATTCTAGTCATCTCTCCGGGCAGTACTATTAAAATCTCGGCGTCCAAGACAAAAAATCTACATCACGCCACTCAAGAAATGCAAACATCGTAGACGGGAGGACTTCGAACTGCTGAAGTCACAAATACCTTATGAATAATTCAAGAATCTGGGCGACGTCTAGGGGGCACAAGTTCCGTATGTGGGATTCAATCCTCTCAAGAGCACGATACCTTTCGTTTAGATATCAAAAGCGACACCATGCTAAAAGACCGGACCCCCCAACGTTGACTCTGCGCATTGCATAATATCTCAAGCAGCACTCGGCAGAACTCTTCAGGTATAACAATCGTTCAAGTCATCAGAGATGTCGATGTAGTAGCAAGTCGCTGCGAACTTGAAGGGGAAGCACCTGTTTTGTTCGCTACTGTTGAGGTGACGCTTATGACGGACATACCCGAGAGCGAAGAATGGCTATGCGCACAGATACCTCTTTCACAAACACCATTCCAGTGACATCACGTATTTCAACCCCCAGATTCAAGGTAATGATAACGACACTCAAGACTTTGAGCCGTGAGCGTGGATCGTCAAAGGCTGGCTTCAGCGAGTGTCTCCGGTCGTAAGCCACGCCTGGTTTCAAGCTACCTATTCGCATGGCGTACCTCTCACGGAAGACCACTTGTCATACAGGCTGCATCTGCAGTCTCTAATCTCATATCCTACAACACCGCACCCGCCTCTATCAACACGACCTCATCCTTCAGCAGTTAACACATCACACCTCTCACGTCTCCCCAAAAACAAAAACCCCCTTGCCCTTCCTAAACCCACCAAGCGTCCCCTGAACGGCACTCTGCAGAACCCCCTCCTCAGTACCCCAGCTCCAAGGAACCTCTTCGACAGGGACATCTTTAAACCTGCCCTCCCTAATCATCCCCAACACGTCCTCAATCGCAAACTTCCTCCCCGTAGGATCCCTCTCGTTCCACTTGCTCAACCAGAACCCGACAAACCTGATATCCTTGAATATCAACAACCCCGTAGGCAGCATGACGGGCTGCCTCGCCATCCCGCCGTACGAAACCATCGTCCCGCTCTCCCCCAAACTCCTCGCCACCGCCGTCGCCGATTTTCCGCCCACGCAGTTCAGCCCGAGCCCGACCTGCTCCCTCCCTCCGCGGGTCAGCTCCGCAAGCCGATCCCGCCACTCCCTCGCCAGAAACTCCTTCTCCGTCACCACGACGGTGGCCCCCAACCCCGTCAGCTCCTCCTTCAACGCTTCCGTCTCGGCGGGCGTCTCCCTTTCCCGAACGACGTTGATACTCCTCAACCCCCACAACTTACCCAGCTGCACCGCCGCCCTTCCAACACCGCTGTTCGCCCCATTCTGAATAAACCACCCGCCACTCCCCGGATCAAGAGCCTTCATGCCCCCATCGCTCCCCGCGCGAATCTCCCCCGGCCCGTACGTCCTCAAAATCCGGTACGCCGTACACGGGTTCACACTAACCGTCGCAACCTGCGTAGGCGTCAAGCCTTCCTTGCTAACCTTCATCACATCCTTCGCCTCAGCGACAGCATGGGTGCGCCACGTCCCGAACGAGCTGGCGTTGGGAATCACCCAGTCGCCCTTGCTCAGCCCGGAATCCTTGGATCCCACGGACACGACCTCGAAGACGCCCTCGTTTCCGGGAATCGCAGAGGGTTCGGGCGTGCCGATGAGTTGCGTAAAGGGGGGCTTGGCGCCGTACGTGCCCTGAATGGTGTTGATGTCGGCCGGGTTGATGGGGGCCGCGAGGGCGCGCAGGAGGACGGCGGAGGAGGGGATCGAGGGGGAGATGGAGTGTGTGTGGAGTCTGTTTTCGTAAGTGTCAGTTTTGTCTCTATTCGTTTGGACGGTGGGTGATAAGGCGGACTACGTACTGCAAAACGTCGCTGGGCTCGCCCTCCTTGGAGAACACGAGCGCCTTGGCCTGGGTATACCCGTACGGACCGGACTTGTATCGTCGCGCAACACGGGGGAGGAGGTACTGCGCCGCCGCCGTTCGGCCGGCAGCCGGTCGCAGCGCCGAGGTCAGCGGACGAAGCGCCGTCGTCGCAGTATTTGTGCGCAAGCTCGCCGCCATTGTTGTGTTGGTTGTGTCAATTGTAAACAGTTAGTCGGCAATTGGACCCAATGACGCAGTGTGGTGGTTGTGGAAAAAGTGACGTTTAATCGCGGGACAAAAAAAAAACCGTAGCTCCAAGCTTCAGGTCCCGGCTCTGGCTCGGCAAACGGGCGACCGGTAGCTGGAGCTCCTTCTCACAATGACGTCCACAGACCACAGGTTCCTTCCTTTACGACGGACGAATCAGCCCACTAGCGCCGTCCCCTGGGATGTGCACGCCGCACGCCGCACTGGAAAGGGGCGGTGGTCCCCGCCGTTTCCGCGATTGGCTCGAGCTTCCCACCGCCACACAACAGCTCCGGCAAAAGGGACGGACGCGGCACGCCGTCCAGGGCATCTAAACATGAACGGCGGCGGCTCCGGGTATTCAACGGACCCACGGGGAATATGGTATGGTCGTGTACGACAGATGGTCCGGCAGCACGCTATTCCGCACAGGTACAAGCGAGCTTCCACCGGACCGTCGAGAATGCATGGTGACATGTTCTAGCGATCTACTTTGCTGCAGCATCGTTCTCCAGCAGAAAAAAACTAGCCATGGCCTTGCTAGGCTCTTCTGCGCGCTAAGAACAACCTGCAGATGCAAGCCTCTCGCCACATGATGTGTTCAAGGGGCCATAGCGTCAGGTTCGGATGACGCGGGGTCCATCTGTCACCATCTTCTTTCCTCACCAAGTTCGCTTCGTTGCGTCGGTCCTTACAAGCCGACTGATATTCTCACCCATTCAAAACGTGGCGAACCTCAGTGTAGGTAGTAAAATGTAGTCTCTATTACTGCTGCGGTTGCCACATAAGCACCAGCGGCATCAGGATGCACTTGGCCAACTGCTCCGTGATATGGCGTTTTCAGCCATCGTGGCTAAGCCCAAAGCATCTTCGCCGATTGATAGTTGCACACTGTCTCGTGCCATTGTGAAAGCTGACGCGAGCTCGAGTTGTTCCTCGTTCCTCCATCGGTCGTCAGCCTCGCCACCGTTTCTTAACCCCTACAAGCTTCTCCATCAAACCCGTAAACATCAACATGTACATTAGAAGGTAAGTCGTAGAAGTAGGAAAGGGTTTGACCAATAAGCCCGCAAGGAAAAAGAGATTCGGGTTCCATGGTGCCTGTACCTCCCAGACAGCGCAATGAGATGAAAAGAAACACACAAAACAAAGAAAGTGTAAACAACGTATGTCAGAATGAGCCCGCGGCGCGAGCTGGGTATCTTGCATAACTTCTTCCAATCTTGCCTCCGCTCCTTGTCACATCTGCTCCGTTCCATCCCCGCCTCTTCGTCTCCCAGCCCTGGCTCGAAATGAAGTTCAACTTGAAGAAAACGCTAGGAAATCGTATTGGTGCATCCGCTCGGATTCGGTCGTTCGCTCGTCGGCGTATATAAGGTGGTTTGTTTTTCTTTCGCATTCGACAAAGAAGCCGGTTCCCGACTCCAAAAACCGGCAGCTCTGCAGATATTAGTCATAACTAGTGTCGGAATTTGTCCGCATCTAGTCAGTAATTATTTGATGTTCTTGAATAAGTCGTCCCCAAGACTGCCCCCGTCCCCTACGTCCAGCCTGGCCTGGAGGGCGCTTAGCTCGGGGATCATGGGCGGCGGAGGTCCTTGGACCTGAGGTGCCTGTGCCTGTGCCTGCGACTGAGGGATCTGCGGCTTGCTTTGCGTTTGGCTGCTGGTCTCGCTGACGTTGGGGTGCTCGTAGACGACACTGGATCGCTTTTGTGGCGGGGAGGATTCGCTGGTCCTCAACCTCTTGAACCAACCACTGCTTCGCTTCGATTTCTTCTCGTCGATGATGCTGCCTTGACTACGGCTCATGGGACGATTGTGGGCGGAGGGAGTTTCGCCTTCTGCATATGCTTGGTTCAGTAATGTCCGGCTGAAGAGACGACGGATGCTGCCTTGTCTGCTTGACGCTGCTGGAGAGAGTGGTGTGTCATCCGAGAATCCTTTCGTACCATTGGTGGTGGCGGGCGAGCCTGGGACTGCTGCCGTATGACCATTTGTCTTGTCCTCGACCTTTTCCTTGACGGCGGACCCGGAGTCCTTGGTTTCGCTCACACGCGGGGTCTGGGGAGGCGTGGGGACCTCCTGGACAGGGCTGGGGAGCGGCGGGGGGATGTTGGTTCCCTCGGTCAAGGAGCCGAACTTGAAGTCCAGCTTGGGGAGCTCAAATCGTTTAGAACCGGTGGAAGGCATGGTGGGCGATGGTGCGGATCAGAAGGTTTGTGTCATGAATTGACTTTGTTGATGCAAAAGCGAGGTTGGGCCAGGATGGGTCCGTTTGAAAGGCGAGGTTTGCAAATGGCAATTGCAGGATCCGCCAGCAGCCAGCTCGACAAACGAACGCGTGACAGGCAGTGTGTGCGGTTCGCCCCGTGGCGTGTGTCGTTGTACGGAGCTGCAGGGGGAGTCGAATCGGACCCAGTGCGAGTGCGGGTTGTGGTCTGGTGGGACAGCGTGGATGTTGTGGACGAGAAGAGAGCGAGTGCGACGTAAGAGAGTCTGGGAGGAGTGGTATCCGTAGGGAAGGATCCGCTGATCTGGTGGATTTCGTAGGGAAAACGGAGCCGAATTGTGAAGGGTTCTGAGAGAGTGAATGTCGAGGTTGGTGACGGTACGGGCAGCATGCAGGGTATGCTTCAGAGCGAGATTGGGTATTCGTCTTGTGCAGTGGCGCACGAAGGAGCAGGCGGAATGGTGGACAGGCGATGCAGTGTACAGTACCAGGTACTCGTATAAATGCAGGGTTCGCAGTACGGAGTACGAAGCAGGTAAGGTAGTGTACGGAGTAAGGTAAATTGGTGCAGCAGGTTCGGGCTATGTACAGCCGCCGTGCTGGGATTCGAATTGGGTCTCTAGGTATCGGTACGACGAGGTTGAAGGCGGTCGTATCGAGCCACGATGGTGTTTGAGTTGGCCTTGAATCGTAGCCATAGGCTGAGCAGTAGTGAGGGCGAAGACTGAAAAGTCTTGGGCAAATCGAGAGGGCACAAACAGCGGTGCTGGCTCTACTTGAAGTCGAATCGAGTTGGGCTCCAAGGACGTGGGGAGCTGCGGTGGCCAGAGACGAAACGACACGAGACGGCGAGTGAGAAAGAAAGTAGGCCCAAGAGAGGAAGAAAGGCCCGGGGACGGTGGAGTAGAAGAATGGAACGGCAAGTCGGGGGTCAAATGGGAATTGAATTGGATGGGCAGTCTTAGACAGTAGACTGAGGTGGACGATTGCCCTTGGTTCGTTCCCTTTGCTTGCCCGGTGCTTTTTCTGCTTGGTGCTTGGTGCTGCTTGGTGCTGGTGTGGGCGTTGGATGGCGGGATTGTGCAATGGGATTGGACTGCTCGTCCAGTTGGACTGGGCTGGATGGGTGAATGGATGGATAGGTTGGATTGGATTTGAGATGTCCTGCAGGGGTCCAACACTTTGCGTGTTTGTCAGTACCCAGGACTGCCAGGTCGTTCCCCGACGGGTGGGATGGCGTCGCACTCACCCTGGGGCCCCTAGGGGTGTCCGGGTACGCAAGTGAGGTCGTCTGACAAGGATGCGCCTGCCAACTCGGTGTCTTCGTCTTTTCTTCCGCTGTTCCTTTTTTTTTTATCTCTTTCGTTCCTCTGCCTCTGCCCCCGAGTGATCAAAGTCCGCGCGAAGCAGAATTGCGGATTATTCCATGCATCGTACGGAGTACACATACTCCGTAGATCCCCTTTGCCTTTCTTCTTCTTCTGCTCCCTTCGAGTCTCCCTCATAGACGAATGAACCCCGGAGCCCCATTGCTTCAGGTTGGTGTTCTGATCTTTTCGGGAAGCGACCTGAACCTGGCATTCCGCCTTGCTGGGATGGCAGTTTAAGATGCCAGATTGAGGCGCCGGGCTGGACCTTTACCAACATCTGTGCTCCCCATTCTGGATAGCTCTGGCACTCTGCTTGTTTACTTACATAAGACAGACGTCCGTTCTTCCAACCGTGCGAAGATTGACCTCATCAGGTAGGCACAAGACGAAAACGGGGACCGAGAGCCCACGTGAAAGTTGGAAGTGGCACTGACATTGACAATTGCAATTGCGCCTGCCTGCCTCCACTGCCTGCCACTTCAAATGCACCAACCGTGCCTGCCTCTCTAATCTCTCTTCCTTCCTTCCGCGGCAACAAAAGTTAGTAGTGCCCGTGGCATCTTGCCCGTCATGCCCGTCCGTCCCTTCCCCTCCTCCATCGCCCCTCCCAGCTAGGTACCTCCTACCTAAGGTTGGATGCCACTGCCTGCTGCATGAACATTGCTTACCTAAGTGCATATTTCCCGACGTGCAACACGTAATCTTAGAGTTCGCATTATCGACTTCTCCAATCACCAAACGTTGTTACCTTATTTTCCACTGCAAATTCATCTCATTCGACTAGACATCAAACGTTTAGCATGATCGGCGGTGTCTCCCGAGTCACAGAGCCTGTCATTGGCAGCAGGGGCTTTCTTTGCTCTCAGCTGCCATACGAATACCTTAGTGCCAACTCTGCCATACTCTCGACTGTGCCGTCCCGTCCCTGGTTGTCACACTCTTACCTTCAAAGCTGCGGCAAAAGACGTGGAAAGCTTGGCTTCACAGCCACTGATATGCAAGAGAAACACGATCCAAGATGCACCGAGTCGACGCCTGCAGCAAATTGTCCGTGAACCTGCACTAGCACAACTTGCACCACACCCTCTTAGCTGCACTACTCAGTCCACACTGCTGCACACCATACATATCACCATCAAGGTCTGATGGATGCATACTGGCGCGTCTCAACAGCTTTGTCTGGCACGCGGTAATCCCATCCGCTACTCCCTTCTACTCTAATACGACGTGTAGATTTACAGCGCCAACACCGGATTGTCATCTGCACGAGCATTCCTCGGAACAACACCACAGTCATTTGCTAAACATTTGCGTTCCTCTATCTCGACTACGCTGGGTCTAGCAAATGTAAAACCATCACACCATGTCTTCCAAGTTTTCTCTCCTTCGGGCCATTACTGACTCCCATGTCCACGCCGCGCGCCGCCTAATACCATGATTTAGGTCCGTTCCTGAGCTAGCAGACCACATCCAACCAGCTCCGCCAACAAGATATCACCTTCTCTCTAACATCCTGGCAATCCGGCCCTGACCCGGCCTCCGTTTGAAGCTCCATGCCTTCCCTACAAGTACAGAGACGTGACCCCGTCTTAATTGGTCCGGTGTGCTCGACGGTCCGGCAGACCAAGCAAACGCTCAAGGAGCCGATGCGCCGAGCCGTGTCGCCAATAATCCCGTTTCAGCAGTCCAAGTTAACCTGGGTTATCTGCCGCAAACGGGGATACTCAAGGGAAGCTGCATTACAGCTCGCCGCCTGTTCCTACAAACGTCAAACGCCCCCCTCCGCCATCCCGCTTCTGATCGGGTTTGCAGCCATTGGTCTGGCGAGGCCGCCTACGGATACCGTTGATGGCATGGCTACTCGGCTAGCTATCGGAATTTTCTCATGTGGCGATCGTCGCAAGGCTTAAGACGACAACGCTATTCAAATTTCATGCGACAGTCACGACCATGGTGCGAGAAAGATCGTCATCCAGCACGAGTCAACGACACCCGTGAATTATTACCAAGGCTTGCGCGATGCTGACTGGCTATTCTGCCTTAACCCAGTCTCACGTACGGTCATTTATCGCGTTTTCGACTTCTCGGTCAAGCGAGAAACATTGGATTCCCAAACAGGAAAATGGCTCCATTACGAATCTCCTCGCATGCAGGCAGGCCGCTAGCACCAATCCCCACGACCATGGCCCACGATCCTTGATCCTTGAGCGCGTGGTGGTCTCTGGCCGCCCCCATCCAACGAGAAATCAGACCAGGCAACCCCTATTTCGCATTTTCCTGTCTTCTCTTCTTCAAAGATTCAAAGGTCCCGCGCACAAGATGCTTTTTCTGCTCTAGCCCGAGACCAGGGCCAAGAGTTTAGAATTGGACGAGAAAATTTGAGCTTTTCCACTTGATCGTATATCCGTATCGTGGCTTATCAATGGGAAATGCCTATCAAGGACACGGGCCGTTTCATGCAGCCCACAGTAACTCCAAGAGCCTGGCACGCATCACGAGGCAAAAAAGTTCATCCCCGCTGCCCGGGTCTGCAAGCAAGGGCGTTGAAACATTACATGGAAACACATTCCCTATTGCCGGTACGGACATGCAGGTACCTCTGACTTTTGTTTCCTCTAGGCCGTATCCAAATCAGCCGCGCTTATCGTCAAAACATGACATTTTCATCATGGGTTTATCGTGGGTTTCCTGAATTTTGGCTCGACCTCTTTGGGTCTTTCTAATATCCGATTCTTCACAAGCAGACGAGCAACGATGTTACACCGTTGTCCACTCTGGCTAGAAATGTCAGAGCGTTTGCGCCGAACGTGGCTCCGGCGCGCTGATAGACCCAGAAACGATCAGGCATGACCCCATTTCTCCTACCCTGGTCCGAACGGTGCTTGCGTATCGTGGTTCGCGCATCACCCGGCGTTGGCAGTCGGACACGGAGCCCAAGCAAATTCCCAGGTGCACAAAAAGACAGCCTCCATGACTCAATCGCGAGCTGCCCGCTGCTCGCTGCTACTTTCAAGATTACGTGACGGTGCCGGCGGAGCAATTCTCGGAACTGTGGGATTTCGGGACCTCGCCTCGGCCCCCAGCTGGAGGAGCAGAGAACATCCATGGACGAGGAAGTATACGGACTCTCACCGAGGTCCGAACCTCAGACCCTTTTGCCGTCATGGGCCCGAGTTGCATAGTGGCTTCGCACTGGCCATCCGCGGGCCGGCGCGGAACCTATCGGACGACAATTGGTCTCCGAGACGCGGAGGCAAAGCTGGCTACACCCCAATCCTCGACGGTGGTGCCCGCGGTCCAATGGACAAGAGTCAGCACTCTCGCCTGTCGCCTGCGATATGTTTTGCATCAATGCGAGCGAAGAGTTGTGGCATCGAACAGGCAAACGCCGCTCGCTACACAATTGTAGGTAAGGCGAGACTTGGAGGCCCATGCCGCGAGTGGCTGCAGTGAAGGGCTAGACCGTGATTCTTTACCCTAGCACGGCAAATGGAAATCAGAGCTGCCTCGAGATACAGGCTTAACAGTGTACAAACCTCGTTGCAGAGAAAGAAAACGATCCGAGTGGGATGACACTCACCCATGCACAC